TGGCCGGGATGGCCGGGATGGCCGGGATGGCCGGGATGGCCGGGATGGCCGGGATGGGGGTGTGTTGTGTCCCCGCCTCGGGGGCGCCCCCTCGGCCCGCGCGCCCCCCCCGCGTGCGGCGCGCCCCGCCGCACGTCACCGCCCGGCGCGCGCCACATGCAAATCACGGCCCGGCGGCGTACCCCCATTGGCCGCCGGCAGGCGATTTAAGGCGGGCTCGGCGCGCGCCGCATGGCTACGGCGCCGCTCGCCCGCGCGCCCGGCGGCTCCTCCTCCTCCTCCTTTCCCGGCCCCGTCCCGGCCCCGTCCCGGCCCCTTCCCGGCCCGTCCCGCCCGGGCCGCGGGAGGGAGACCACCGCCAGCAAATTACTGTGCCGCCGCGCCCCGGCCGCCGGGCTCGGCGCGTGTTTTGGTTGGGCTTCTTCCCCCACCCCTCCCTCCCCTGATCCTCCTCCCGCTTTTTTTTTTTTTTTCAGTTAACGTTTAAATACTTTTTTTTTTTTCACCTCCTTTTCGCTTGGCGGTGGGTTCTCCTCTCTTCTGCTCCGTTCACCTGCGATCAGCGGATGCAAGTCACACACGCTCTCTCCCCTCCCTCCCTCTCTCTCTCCAAGTTAGCAGCAAAGAACAAAAAAAAAATAGCTCCGTTAAGGATAAGAGCGGGAGCGGAGGGGTGTGCGCGCGTCTGCCGGGGAGCGCCGGCGAGCGGAGGACACCGCCGACGGCTCTGCGCACTCCTCCCGCCGCGCCAAGTGAAGCAGCAAGTTTGCCGTGCACCTGTTTGAGCAGCTCGAACCCCCGTCGCCGCCGAGCCCCGAAAGTGGTTTGCAAAAGGGAGAAAGTTTTTCGCCAGTGGGGTCGCCGATCGCCCTCCTCGCGGTTTTCTTCTCCTCCTCTTTTTTTTTTCCTTTCTTTTTTTTTTTTCCACGGCGGTAGCTACCTAGATACGAACGGGTTTCACCTCGCTCGCTCCCCGTCCGCCCGGGCTCCTCTATGTTTGATTCATTTTTCACGTCTGGCGCCGGTGGAAAATAAAAAAGCTACTTGAATGTACAGCATGATGATGGAGACGGACTTGCACTCCCCCGGTGGAGCCCAGGCCCCCACGAACCTCTCGGGGCAGACCGGAGCGGGAGGCGGCGGAGGAGGCGGTGGCGGCGGCGGCGGCGGGGGGAACAAAGCGAACCAGGACCGGGTCAAGAGACCCATGAACGCCTTCATGGTGTGGTCGCGGGGCCAGCGCCGGAAGATGGCCCAGGAGAACCCCAAAATGCACAACTCGGAGATCAGCAAGCGCTTAGGGGCTGAGTGGAAAGTCATGTCGGAGGCCGAGAAGAGACCATTCATCGACGAGGCGAAGCGGTTGCGGGCGCTGCACATGAAGGAGCATCCGGATTATAAATATCGGCCCCGGCGGAAGACCAAGACCCTGCTCAAGAAGGACAAGTACTCGCTGGCCGGGGGGCTGCTGAGCGCCGGCTCGGCCGCAGGAGGCCCGGCCGGTGTCGGCGTGGGCATGGGCGTCGGCGTCAGCCCGGGCGGCGTTGGGCAGCGGCTGGAGAGCCCCGGCGGCACGGCCAGCGGCGGCTACGCGCACATGAACGGCTGGGCCAACGGCGCCTACCCGGGCTCGGTGGCGGCGGCGGCGGCGGCGGCGGCGATGATGCAGGAGGCGCAGCTCGCCTACAGCCAGCACCCGGGCAGCGGAGGGCACCCGCACCACCCGCACCCCCATCACCCGCACCACCCGCACAACCCGCAGCCCATGCACCGCTACGACATGGGCGCCCTGCAGTACAGCCCCATCTCCAACTCGCAGGGCTACATGAGCGCCTCGCCCTCGGGGTACGGCGCCCTGCCTTACGGCTCCCAGCCCCACCAGAACTCGGCGGCGGCAGCGGCGGCGGCGGCGGCGGCGGCGGCCGCCTCTTCGGGGGCGCTGGGCGCCCTAGGCTCGCTGGTAAAGTCGGAGCCCAGCGTGAGCCCGCCCGTCACTTCGCACTCGCGGGCCCCGTGCCCTGGGGACCTGCGGGAGATGATCAGCATGTACTTACCGGCCGGGGAAGGCGGTGATCCGGCGGCAGCTGCCGCCCAGAGCCGGCTCCACTCCCTGCCCCAGCACTACCAGAGCGCCAGCACGGGGGTGAACGGCACCGTCCCCTTGACGCATATCTGAACCCCCGCCGGCACCGGAGCGGTGGAGGCAGGCTCGGGTGCGAGCACCGGCTCGGCTCCCGGGCCCCGGCCGCGGCCCCGGGCCGTTCCGCTGGACTGCGCGCCCCGCCGCTGCCACCGCACGCTCAGCCCCGGCCGCCCTCCCGCGTCCCGGCCCCGCGCCCCTCCCACCCCCCCCCCCGGGTCCCCCCCTTTTTTTTTCCCCTCCCCCCCCCTTCCCCCCCCCCCTTCCCCGCCTCTCTCTTTTTTTTTTTTTTCTTTCTTCCTTCCTTTTTGTACAGAAATGTTTTGATGTTCTTGTAATAATAATAATAAATAATAATAATAATAACGAGAGAGAAAAAAGGTAACGGTTGCTTTACTTACCTTTTTTTTTAGAAGGACTAGTTTACGAAACTAGTTTTAAACTGAACTTCCGTGTTTTATCGAGACTTTTTGTACAGTATTTATCATTCACCCAAGAGGCATAGTGCGTTTATTTGCAAAAGAAAAGAAAGAGAAAATAAGGGAGGAAAAAAGGAGAAAGGGGGGGAAACGATGGCGAAAAGACAAAAAATACCAACAAAAAGTTGTAGGCGATGCCAACTTTTATACCGCGTGGAACTGCTACGATTTCAGTCACGGATCGCTTCTTGCGAAGGCTTTTTATTGACTAATTAACTCGAAGTTGATGAGGAAACAGTTCTCATTTATTACTCATGTACTAAAGCAAATCCAAAAGAACAATTAAAAAGTTTTTTGTAGATATTCTCGCGGTTTTGTTGGGTTGGGGGTTTTTTGTTACTTGTTTGTTTATTTATAAAACTTTTTTTTTCTTTTAGAAGCTACATTTTTTTTCCTGAGGTTTGTAAAATTTTATTGTATCTGGATATTTTTGTTTGTTTGTTTTCTCTTCGGTTTTGTTTCCTTTTTGTATCATTTCTTGTAAATGCATTGTGAAATAATTTTTATTTAGGCATTATGAAGGAATTCAGATTTTGTACATAGTTTACTAAAAAGCCTTTCTGCTAAACAGAAATCTGAAGGATGCGTCCTTTTTTTTTTTTTTGAGTTAAATAAATTTCAAAGCGGAAAAAGTCACCTGGTTTTTAAAAACAAACAAACAAAAATTTCCTGGAGAACTTAGTAGTATTTACCATGGTAAACCTAGAAATAAAGCGAGTAAACCTGAATCTTGGGGAGGAAGTTTTAAACAGCAGCGGCAAACAGAATGAAGTGCAATCTACAGTAAACATCGATGTTCCCTAACCTGTGTAAATCGGGAGGGATGAAGGTAGATTTATTTTAATACTCGTTCCTTACTGCAAGCCTCTTACTGCGTTACTCTTCTAGCCGTGAACATTTATTTTGTGGACTTTATGGCTGGGCTGGTGGTCTAGACCTTGCCGGGGCAGTAACTTTCCCCTTGGGGAATGATCGGGTGCTGCCCGCCCCTGCTCGCCTCGGGTCCCCGCTCGGCTGGGAGTTCCCGCCGGCCCGGGGGAGGAACCTAGCTCCCCGGGAATCGAGAAGGCACCGGTCAGCGCGACACTTCCCCTGTAATTAACACCTTGAAAAGGGAAAGAGCTTAGTTTTGCGCGTCTCGAAAAGAAAAGCGACCTCTAAATCTCAAACCCGAAAAGCAGCCCCATACCTCCGGAGCATCCCGGGGGGCGAGCGGGAATCGGAGGGGTCACACGTTTCTGTCCCCTCCGACGGCCTCCCTCCCCTCAATTTTCAGCGACTGGTGCTAAAGCTGTCGAGCGAAACGATGCATGTCAGTTCGTTGCAGAATGTTGTTCAATGCTTTGAAATTTAATTTTTTTTCTAGCTGTTGATCGATACTTTTCGATATGTTAGAATTAAAAGTTTGCTGTAAACTACTGTAGCAAATGAATTTTTAAAATAGTTATAAGTACTTAAACAAAAGGAAACAAAATTAACTTCCATGACTGTAATGTCGGCAGCAGCAGGCTGTAGGACTTTTTAAATTATCTTTTAGCGCTGGCGAATAAATACTTCGTCCATAGTGAGTGCGGAAGTTTTAGTTGGTTAATGGGGAGCGGTTTTGGTCCCTGTTAGAGATTGCACTTCTTCTATAATGCTCACATGTCAATTGACATATATAACTCTTCCGAGTTATATTGATAATTTTGTATAAATCACTCATGCTTTAAACTGAACACAGAATTTTCATGGAAGGTGTCTATTGATTTCAACCGAAAATAAGCCCCACACATTTTTTTTCCCAACTATTTGAGCCTTTATCACAGAGAGGTGTGTGCGGGTTCAGTCAACAGGCGACTTTGGAAATGCTCAGCCTCCGAACAGAGCACACAGAAAGGAGGAAAATGTGAGAAAACTTCCCTGGCGTCCGTTACCTCCAGCCAAACACAGTCCTAGATGTAATTTAAAATATTAATAGCCGTACCTTTAGATATGCAGATTAAGCTGGGTACCTGTTGAACTGTTTCTTGAAATGTGCTTTCCTTCATGTGCATACTACGTACTAAATATCTATACACACTGTAGATAGCATCATGACCGAAGAGGAGTGTGTGTGTGTGTGTGTGTACATATGCACATGTAGACACATATACATCTGATGCAACCCTGTTACGTATCTTTTCTTTACGGGTCATAGCTATTGAAAATCACATTTGCTGACTATGCAGAATAGAAAAATCCCAGTGAGACGATCCTGTATCGCTGAACACGTCTGATGGAATAGGAGGATTGGGATGGTCAAGGGAGAAAAGCAAATAAACATCTGTTTATTTGCGGCCAAACAACAGAAATACTATGGGGAAACGCTTAAAAAAAGAAATATTACGGCTGTCTAAATGATCTCCTTTCAACGAGTTTTCCCTCCTACCCTCAGAATTTTGCGGCTCAATGGTGTTATGCCTAGAATAATGGGAATACCTGCACTTTCAACACAAGTGGATTACACAGACCCAATCTCGGTTATATTCAAATAAGCTTCGAATATTCTCAGCCCGCCTTTCAAGAAATACATTTTGCTCTGCGAAAGGCCACCCTCCAAAAGAAAAAGAAAAAAAACAAACTACAAAAAAAACCATCAAACAAACAACCAAAAAATCCCACTACAAAATACCAAAAACATCCACCCACCCCACCGCCCTCCCCGAAATATCATCAGGGTAGAATTTTTTGCTGCTTTTTTTGTTGCTTGTGTTTTACTGGTTGGTTTGGCAGTTCACTTTACTTGAGTTAAACTTCACGTTTGGGTATACAAACGAAACAACTTTCCTAGGCAGATGAGTTGGGTTTAGGTACAGTAAAATAATTAGGTCTTCGGGCTTTTTGCTGTGCGAGTTATATATAAGAGAATAATTGAATATGCAAAACTAAGAATAGGTTTAAGCGATTTATGGTTTAAGTACATTACATCTAAAATTGTATGAAATGTTCCTCCTTTAACATGATTGACAGAGCTATTAAAATCGCGTATGTGGAAGAATTAAACCAAAAAGTCATCTCGTTTTCAGTAAAAGGAAGGACAATCCAGGGAGTAAGGCGAAGGGGAGCGCGGTGGAGATGCCCTCTGCGGAGTTAGGCTGCGTGTAGCGTGGGGAGCTTGGGGTCAAGGCCCCCCATGGGCCAGATCCCGCCCCCGTGGTCAGCGCTGTGATGAAGGGTCCCTCTGCCCCGGGAGGGGGGTGGCGGCAGAGCAGCCAGAAGGACAGGAGGCACAGAGCGATAACAGATTTGATCCGCTCCAAACTTCGAGCCAAAACGCAAACTTGGCCTGAACTCCACAGTTCTTTCCCAAAGGTTCTCCCCCCCCTTTTTTTTCCCCCTCTCCTTCCCCCCACCGTACGTGGCTCGCTGAGCTCATAGGAGTGGCGCTGGGCCCCGGGGAAAAGCCGTTCCCTCAAGTTCCACTCCTCCGTGCCCTCAGCCGGAGTCACACCGCAACAAGCACCGGGCGGGGCATCGATGGGACGGCTCCGAGCCTTTGGGAGCAACGGAGCGGGGGAGGAGGGCACATTAAATCGTCCGTGAAGATAAAAAGAGGGACGATTCCAGAAATCAGAGCCAACGAGCCCGGAGGGCCACAGCGGGACAAGAAGCCCCGCGAAGTGCTCCTTCACTGGACGGAGGGGTGGTGAGGACCCTCCCTCCCAGCTGCGCCACATGCAAACGACATCAGGCCGGGTCACCTGAACGTCTGACGAGGTTATAGCATTTTATTATCATGCGTAAACTACCATGAAAAAAAAAACAACGTTAAAAAAAAGGCGCCACAACATCACACATACACACTCCCCCGCTGAAAACTAAACGAAACGTCTGATCTGAGAGTTGCTGTAGAGTAACATGGAACTAAAAGACACGAACTAGCAGGTGCCTGAGGGTTATCTGGACGGGATGCGCTCCCCGGCCTGGCGCCGACGCTCTCCCACGCCCCGCAATACCCCCGCCTTTCCCTGGCACTCACCGACCCTCCCCTGCCCTTTTCTGCCCCGCCCTCCCCCCTTCGCGCACACTTTCTGACAGCTCCCCCCAGTAAGCTCCAGCTCTCGCTTTCCCTCCTACACTCAGCAACACGTGGGGTGTGCCGGGAAGGGGCAGTCCCTTGGAGGCGGACAGCGTCAGGGTGTCCGTCTGTCCGTGTGAGTGTGCGGGGGACTGATCTTGCTGGAAGGGCCCTCCTCGCTAAGCAAGTACCCCAGAGTCGTGGAGCAGTGGGCCTGGGGAATGTTGTTCGTGGGGTGCGAGTGGATCTCTGAGAGCTGCAGCCCCAGGAAGCGAAGTGCCCCCGATGCCGTCGGAGGGGCTGCAGATGAATGATGAAAGAGGGAAACGGGGGTTGAAGGAGGCGAGAGGGGTGAGAGAGAGGGAGGGAGAACGCGGGGACAAGGGCGGGGGGTGGTGTTTGGAGAGCGAGGGATTAGCGAGGAGAGTCCTGACCCCGGGATCAACGGCCAGTCAAACCCGTTTACAATCACCCGGCGGAACACCGACGGCTCCCGCTGCAAGCCAGCGGCCGGCCGGGCAGCCAGCGAGACCAGACCCCGCCGTGGAGGGGGGAGTCTGGTGGGGGAGGCCCCGGCCCTGCTGCGGGGAGAAGGAAAATGCCACAGCCGGGAGGGTGGGAGAAGAGAGGTCCCAGCGGGAGGTCGGGGAGCTGCAGCAAGTGGCGGT